AATACAAAAAAGAGAAGAAAATTGGTAAAGTATGACTGGGAAAGAAGTTCTTGTTTCCCCATGTATTTCTACTACATTAATAACTTCTTAATGCTTTGGAGTGGCTTTACCTTTCATTTTTTTGTTGCTTCTATTTGGGATTCTTTCCTTCCTTCCTTTTTTTTTATTTGGGTTTTTTTTGGGGGGGTGGGTGGGTGTGTGTGTGTGTGTGTGTGTGTGTGTGTGTTGGGGGTTGAAGAGTTTCTCCTGTTGCCTTAGATAATGTTGTGAAAAATCATTTATTTGGTGCTTTACAGGTACAAATTTACATTGTTCAACGAGCTATATTTTTTGGTTTCCGGAGGGACAGTTTGGATTGGTACTTTTCTATTCCTTGGTTACGTGCTTCTGATGTATTTTTTCCAACATTATTGGAATTTCTACTTCCAAACTGCTACATGATAGGACAAACTGAATTACAGATTAAGAATTTGTGATATGGTGGTTTTGTGCATGTTTGAAGGAGAGAATTTCTGGTTTGGCAATTAGGGCCCTCTGAGCTTATGGGGATTCCTTTGTGGTGAATGGATCAATTTAAACGCCCTTTGAGTGCATTTATGGACCACTCTTGAATGTTACTCCTGTTGGCTCAAACATATATTGTTTCATTTTGAGTTTTCAGCTCTTCTTCTAGCCTTCTTGTCTGATGATGTTTTCCTGTGCTCTTACGTTGGGGTGATGGGACACATGAATGAATGGTGGTGCTTGGTTGCCTTTGTTTAATGGAGCAGTCTCAGCGTATACCAATCTTAAATTATTACCTCTCCCCCGGCTTTGTTTTGCCTTTTCAATTTTCTTCTTTTCTTTTCTTCTTTCTTTTTCTTTGTTTCGTACTTTTTTTTGGGGGTGGGTGGGTGGGTGGGTGAGTGAGTTGCTGATAAGTTGGTGAATGTGCAAATGTTAAGCCAATACTGCTCAATAAGCATTGTCTTTGACATCCTGTTGTATCGTATCATGTTTGAAACTCGTTAGAAATTCAGCTTGTTTCCCGTGATAGATCGACTGTAAACATATATCTTGTTGAAAAGGAGAGAAAGAGCTCAATAAGTATTGTATTATTTACCTTAGAAAATTTTCTGGGAGAAACTGCCCCTGACCTAATAAGGCTACTATTGGTGCAAGTTGTAAGGAGTCTTGGTCTCGAGTCAAGCTGGGGCGTCATTTCATTCTCGTAATGGGAATGAGTGCACTGCAAGACCAGACAATGCATCAGAGAGTTAAGTAATATTTGAGTTCAACTAATTAGGAATCTGAGAAGAGTTGCATTGCATGATAATACTTTGGGCATCTGAACCGAAGATTAGTCATCATTTTTTGTAAATTTGAAAGTGTGTAGTTTGGGGTATTTGGTGGATGCATATTGATGTAATACATCTGGGTTGGGTTTCTGAAATTAAAGGCGCCTACTGATGTTGTGCCTTGTCCTTAACTGAGAACACCGATCTTAGTTTTTGATTTGAAGAAAGCTATTTTCTTCTAGGGGTTTTCTAACAGGTGCTCATTGGGCACTCGTTAGCACACATAAGTCACACCATACCTGCCATGTTAATGCACACATCAACAATTATTACCCTCCCTTGTATTTGTACTTCTCTTGTTAACATTTACTTTTCCAAAAATTTAACATCTGAACTACTCTTTATCAAGTGCCCAGTGGGCACTTGTTAGACATACCCTTTCTTCTATTGTCAAATACTCTTATGCCCTGCTAGCTCTTTGCATGGCAAACTGGCTGAAATCAGAAGCAGCATAATAGGTTATTTTGGCTTCTAATGATGGGAAGCAGAAGAGAATGGGAGTTATTTTACCTTTGTTGCTTGGAATTGAAGATATTACATCCCGACCTGAAATGCTTTGCTTTTATGTTGTTTTCCCACTCAGATTCTAGCTTGCCAACTGAGGACTCGTGGGAAATTCAGAATGAGGCAGTGCCAGTAAAGATCAAAGAAGTCACAGTGAGTAAAACACAAGAAAATCATAACCAAGACATGGAAAACAACCAGACTGTCGTCAATACTTATGTTGATATGATGTATGTTAATTCACAAGATGATGGTGTGAAAAGTTCGAAAGTTAGTAATGAAAGAGCTTCTAACAACTCTGATGAAAAAGACGAATCAACACTTTTCCGAAGAAGATTTGAAAGCCGTTTTACAACTTCCTCTAGTAAATTGCTGGAGAACGATACCGATGATGTTGGTAGGTTTCTGTACTTGGAAGGTGTAGAATATATCATGTGGTGCACATATGACGTGCACTTCTATGCATCTTTTGCCTTGCTTGAGCTGTTTCCGAAGATTGAGCTCAGCATTCAGCGTGAATTTGCAAAAGCGGTATTATGTGAAGATAAGAGGAAGGTGAAGTTTCTAGCAGAGGGAAATTGCGGTATCCGGAAGGTCAAAGGGGCTGTTCCTCATGATCTTGGAACTCATGATCCATGGCATGAAATGAATGCTTACAATATACATGATACTAGTAGGTGGAAGGATCTGAATCCTAAGTTTGTGCTTCAGGTTTATAGAGATTTTGCTGCCACAGGAGATTTTTCCTTTGCAGCTGATGTTTGGCCTTCTGTTCGCGCTGCAATGGAATATATGGAACAGTTTGATCGGGACCATGATGGCCTCATTGAAAATGATGGATTCCCAGATCAAACATATGATACTTGGACAGTCCACGGAATAAGTGCTTACTGTGGTGGTTTATGGCTTGCTGCACTTCAAGCTGCAGCAGCAATGGCTGTTCAGCTTGGTGACAGAGCCTTTGCTGAACGATGCAAAAGCAAATTTGTAAAAGCAAAGGCAGCCTTTGAAGAAAAATTGTGGAACGGCTCCTACTTTAATTATGATAGTGGTTCTAGCAGTAACAGCAAGTCAATCCAAGCTGATCAATTGGCAGGACAGTGGTATACAGCATCTTCAGGCTTGCCTGATCTTTTTGATAAAGTTAAGATCCAGAGTGCCCTCCAAAAAGTATATGATTTCAATGTGATGAAAAATCGAGGAGGTAGGATGGGTGCAGTAAATGGAATGTATCCAAATGGAAAGATAGATGAGACCTGCATGCAGTCCCGTGAAATATGGACTGGAGTCACCTATGCAGTGGCTGCCAACATGATTCTTGCTGGAATGGTGGAGCAGGGTTTTACGACAGCTGAAGGTATATTCCTGGCAGGCTGGTCAGAAGAGGGCCATGGGTAAGTTATATTTGCATAATCAGTTCATTATTTTCTCATGTGCAAGTTGATAGATCATCTTTCCTGCCTCACCCCTTGAAGCTCTTTGAAGCAATAATCTTGCAAACGACGGTAGCAGTCACGAAGCATATGTACTGGGTTTTTGAGGATCCTTATCTGGGATGAAAACATGATTTAATCACCCTTGTGTCATACTCATATATACGCCGCTGTGACAGCGGCACTATCCCTGGGATCTATTTGTCTGTAGTACACACATGCCTGCCATATTATTCTTGTTCTTTCTCAAGAAATACATCTAGAGTCTATTCTGTTTACATTTTTCATCCCTGTTAGGCTATCTCCTTATCAACCATTCTGCACCTGTTTTTCTTTACGCAGATATGCATTTCAGACTCCAGAGGGTTGGTCAATAGATGGGCACTTCAGGTCTCTCCTGTACATGAGGCCACTTTCAATTTGGGGCATCCAGAGGGCAATGTCTTCGACTAAGACTACTCTTGAAGCTCCAGTGATAAACATTATGGACAGAATCAACATACCCTATCATAATAGCACACTTTCCTCTCGCAGTGAAAGTGGCGTCAAGAAGATAGCACACAAGGCCAAGTGCTTCAAGAACTCGGTCTTTCATTGTGCATGCTGACTGACTTTCACTTTGTGAGGAATGTAATGCTACTGCTAAAATGTTGTTCATTCATTAATTCTTTGTAGTTGGATGGTTCCTCCCATCCTCTTTTTTCAGCAGCAAGAATATAGCTGAGGGAGGTTTGTGGAAAACTTCTGCCCTACGGACCATGGCAATAAAAAACTGGGAGGACCGTGCATGTACTCTATTAAAATAGAGTCCTAGTTTTAGCCTAGTTAACGTTCTATATAGCAATAATTTCATGTCGTTCTGTAAGAGATTTTCCAGGACTCTTTTTTGACTCTGTTCCTTATCTGTTTTGATCTATAGGTGTTGTCCAATGGTCTAGGCTATATGCTTAATGAGCTGTAATCTAGTCTTCGAGTTAGAATTTTTAAGTTCATCAAATAATTGAACCAAAAACGGATGACCAAGAATTTCTAATATTCATATGTACTTAGCTCCATGAACTTAAAATTTCAAATTTGCATAAACCAAACATTTAGAGCTCGATTGGGTGAAAATTCACTTCAAACTTCACTTGCGTGATACTCGAGCCAAACCCAAAACAGAATTTTGAGCTCATTCATGAAAACAGTAATATAATGTTCGGGCTTCATTACCATTGTTCCAAATTATACCCTGATATGTTGCACTTTTGACTCTGCAGAGGATTGAAGCAGTGCAGTTGGAGTCTGATAAGGTTCGATGTGATCATTGTATTTTTTTAGATTACTTGGTATACAAATTACGTTTGGTTATTGTATCCGAGATACAAGTGATGTATATGAATAAATATTTGACGTATACTCAATGCAACATTACAATTTAAATATGTATAATGACTGAACGAAACTGCACAAAATATAATTGTACTGAGTTTTTGTACTTTCATGAGATACCTATCAGTTTTATCAAGGTACTCCGGTAAATTTTTTTTTAAAATTAATCAATAACGTCTGCTTTATTCCTTCTCTAGCCTATTTTAAAGGGCTCAATCGAGACATTGGAGAACGACGAGAATTAAACCATTGTCAGATCGATATAAATTGGACCCGGGTAGTTGCTATACAAAACAACACGCAAAACAAACCGAAAAAACCATATCCACATCCTCTTCTGCTAAACCCACAACACATGTATCTCTGGTCTCTTCAGTCCTCACCAAACCCGCTCAACTCCACCATTTCATTCCTCTACAGAAACCCGGAAATCCCAAAACCCAGGAATGCAATCCCGGCACGTGACAGAGTCATTGACTTTGGGAAGTACAAGGGCAAAATGGTGGGGACCCTTCCTTCAAATTACCTCAAATGGGTCTCCAAGAACTTGAGGGCACGTGACTTTGAAGAGTGGGCTAAGCTTGCTGATGAAGTTCTTGAAGACCCAGTTTACAAAGACAGGATAGAATGGGAGTTTGCTCAGAAGGTGCTGAACGGCGACGTTTTGAGCTCGAAAAGTGTTCAGCTTCAGCAGAAGAGTGCTGTGTCGGGTTTGGTTGAGATAAGCGAAAGGTTTGGATGGGATAATGAGGATAAGCTGGGCTGGGCCAAGGTTGATTTCAGGCTACTCGGGACGTCGAAAGGGGGAAGGATACCGAGGGTGTCAGACTCTGGGCCTAGGGTTATGAAAGATGGTGTGTTGGAGATTTTGAAGCCCAAGGCGGGGGAGAATGGGCCTGTCAAAGGAAGGAGGAAGGAGAGGCGGGAGAGGTTGAAGCTGAGGAGGAGGAAAAATGGGGAGAGAAATGGCATTAAAGTTGATGATAAGGGTAATTTTGGCAATTCAAGTAAGAATAAATTAGATGGAGATGGAGATCAAGATCAAGAGGAGGTTGATGAAGATGGCAGGGTGGATATTATTAAAACTAAAAATAGTAGTGTATTTCCAGGACGTGAAGCTTTCTTGAAGAAAGCAGCTAACAGGAGAAGATTTTGAATTGGGTTGTTGATAAAACATTTCATTAGTTTCATAATGTAATAAAAGTTATTAACTTATGATTTTTTTTTTTTTTTGATTTAGATGTGGTGAATGAATTGAGCTTGAATCGATAATTTGGTTCGATTCAAATGTGAATTTAATCGAACAAGGATCAAGATTGATTCGACTACAGTTATTGGATCAAATTCGATACTCACTAAGCCTTTAAAAGACTCAATTTAGCTACTTTTGTGAATTAATATATATATATATATATATATATATATATGTATACAAAATGAAATTTTGTACGATAATGTGTATATGCCAGTAAAAGGGGTTGAAAAAGACAAGCCTAAGGCAAGCTCCCAAACTAGTACTACGACTTGGCTTATCCTATCACAAAGGATAGTTTCTATGGAGAATGTTACCTACTTCCCTTTTAAATCTAGCTGGAGGCTGTATAACCTACAGCAAAAACAATTTTAATCAACTTAATGTGCAAGAAATGTAACGCCTAGAAGAAGTCTTCCAAATCATTTTTCCTAGGAGTGGAATTTAAGATACGAAAAAAGGTAGAGATGGCAATCAGGTCGGGTCACGGATTGGTGGGTCGAAACAACACGTCAATCCGAACACGACTGGAAATTTAAATGATTCCAACTTTTTTGAACTGGACACTACTTGTAAATTTCGCGGGTTACCCGAACTCGAACTGAATAACCTGTTTGCTTAACTTTCTTCTTTTTTTTTACACCTTCTCACTTCGATAGAATGGTGGATTTTTTTTTTATAATGGAGTTTTCATAAGAATATATAAAATTATAGTCCAATCTCATAGTACTTTTTTGGTTTTCCTTTTTGTAAAAAAAAAAAATCATGAACAAAAACAAAATTACGACACCTTCACAAATAAAATACCTTGTTTTCACGTAATATTCATGATTCCGTTCTCGTAATCCTAATTTAAAGTCTTAGTTAGTTTTTCTTTTATTTACTTTTTACCTCTAATTTATTGATTAAATTATAAAATTACATATTAAACGAGTCAGACGGATCAATCCAGGTTAACCTAATTTGGACTTGTTTGTCTAACGGGTCATTTGGGTGTGACCTGATTTTGAACCGACCTCGTGAAGAGTAAATCTATACCCGCTAATTTTATGTTATGTTTGAATTGTATTTTCAGATCGTGTCGAGAATTGCCACCTCTAAGAAAGGGACAAGGGGATCAAAATCCAAAACTTTTAATTTTTGGACTTTCAACTATAACCACTTAGCATACGTTGTGTCTTACGATATTAAGGGGATAAAGATAGAGAGAGAGAGGAGGAGGAGGAGTTCAAGAAGAACCTTTTATATTCAAATCTGTTCCATTACCTGTACTACATAATAACATTTCAACTATTTTTAAAGAAAATAAATGAGAACATTAAAAAAGGATCTACACCAGGATAAATAAGAAGCAGCAACTCATATTAAGTAGAAGAGAAACTATGTCCCGGAATAGATTCGTTGATACAATGTTCAAACTTTCTGGCATTACAAATTTTAGCTAGAAACTTAAAAAGTTGCATTTTTTCTTGACTGATCGTGGACGAAGTGAAAACAGAAGGAAAAGACTAAAGCTGGTCTAAGCTCTATGTTTAAGTAAGTGCTATTCCGTATTCTTAGAAATTCTCTAATAAAAGAGTTCAATAAATTAAAACATATTCCTAGTAAAGTGGATTACTTTCTGAGCAACGAGTCTCCTTCTAACTAATTAAAGAGAAAAGAGAATACTCCATCCAAATTTGACCATTAATTGATTGAGCATGATCCTTAATTGTCTTCTCTCTAACATCTTAGAGAGAAAGAGGTTATATATATATATATATATATATATACACACACACCAAAGGAGGGAGATTAGGATTAATATGCAATTCAACAAACAATTAGAATAGGCCCTGTTCTCTTATTCTCCGTCAATGTAATTAGGCAAAGAAAGGTTTCAATCACACAACATCTACTCTCTGAAGATCTTCCAATAACTAATTGAAGGAAATACAAGGGACTTCTATTGATTATTTAGTATGGTAAAGCGGAAAGCCTTTATCTTGGATCAAAGACTCCAAAAACCCAAGAAAAGTTGCCCTACTTTTACATTATAGACAACAAGAAGCTTGCTGAAAGCACCACTGTCCGAGACATAACATGAGAAAAAACCCAACCACTTTGGACCAACATTCTCTGTCTCCAACACATCGGTTAGTCAGTTTTTCTGATGTCCGACTGACAGTAACCTCTCTAGAACCTAGCAGTTCCATCTGTCTATAGTTTTTTTTTTTTTAAATAAGCAAACCCGCAATGGCTACCTGAAAGTGTGCATTGAATAAACTCTGCCTCATGTAATGGTCCGCCAATCACACGGAGGGATAAGACGCACTAGACAAGTTCTGTGTGACGGGCAGATGTTTCAAAAGAGGTTTGAATTCGGGTTGGTAGGAAGGCCAACTCTACTATCTCGACCAACCTAAGAGACAAACATCTGTCTATAGTTATCATTCACTTGAGACTCAAAATTTTCAGCAGAAAATGAAGACCAGGAGATGAAGTTCATTCACAAAAAAGACACTAATCAAGAAGACACTACTTTGCTTTGCGTCCATCCAATAATGTAAAGAAATAGAGGGACTTCATGTAGAAGCTTAAATGGGAAGCCAGTAAACTATGAAGCATGAAAAATTTCAAATCAGAATTAAAAAGGCCTCCTTATGTCACAGTAAAACAGCAAGAACTAATTAATAGAAAACTAATGCACGAGATCCATTTGACACCTAACAAAAAGAAAAAAAGGAGAGAGGAGCAAAATGCAGTGTTGCGTAATTTGGACGAGGTACAGAAAGCCACTACCAAACCATGTACTTTGCAAGAATTTGCAGCACATACTTCCAGTAGCTACTAATCAGTCTAATTTGGCACTTGGAATGCATTTCTATTCAAAAAAAAAAGAAAAGTCTAAGAGTGAATTTGATAAAACTGAAGTCTGAAATATGAAATATGAAATCTGAATCCATTAAATTATTGAATTATTAAGTATTAAATCTAATACATTTGAGTGCATATCACATTCAGTGATAAGTCAATAGTTTATCACTTAATTTTGGGAATAAGTTTTGCTTAGGAAATTCAGTGCCACTTAAATGATTCAAATGTTCAATTTTTTATTATCAAAATATTTTAAGATTTAAATCCATTAAATCTAAATACTGAACTAAGTTATTAAACAGAGCCTAAGTCTGCTTTGATTGATCAAAGGGCAAAAATATGTAAACTAGCCGGCCTATTAATTAGAAGAAGAAATGCCAGCGTTTAAAATGCAAATTACTCCAATACAAGATGCAGACACCAGATTTTCTTAAACAAAACAACGATCGTGTTTGGGATGGACTTAGAAAAATTTGTTAATGAACATGCTCAATATTATCACTGACAAGCAACTCCATAAATTCTGTCAGTTGTAAAAAGTAGTATGTAACATCTTATCGTAGGGCAACATAAATAAAACTCTACAGCTTATTGCATGAATCCTTTTATAAATTATTTTACTAAAAAATGTAAGAACTAATAAAGGTAGATCTTGAATCCAGCTCGACCATTGATCAAATACAATGAACCATGAGTTAGGAAGCTTTGGGGTTAAAGGTTTAAATCGGTGCTGATGTGATAATTAGGGATATATATATATATATATATATATATATATATATATATATATATATATATATATATATATGAGCTTTTCAACTTTCAAATTTATGGACTTTTAAGGGCATGGAATTATAGTGATTTGAGCAAAGGTTTGTTAATTTAGTTGTTGAAATGCCTTGAATCATATCTTCGACCTCCGCTGAGCTGTTCGGGGGTCTCGCTGATACATTCCGAACCCTAATAAAAATTTAATTTTTCCTAAATTTATTCTTGTTTGTTCTTGTTTGTTCTTTCGTTCCGCTGCATCTGTTTTAACATTAGTTTCATTAATTTAGTTTTATTAATTGCATCCCGTGAGGTCCATCATGACTAAGTTAAATGCTGTGGATTATTTGGTCAACTTGTCGTCCCAAAAGGTAGATGACAACTAATAAATCTCTAATAGGAATTCAAAGTACACAGGTCAAGAGTTACACCAAAAAAAAAAAAAAACATGGGTCAAGGAAATGAATGTGGACTCCTTTAGGGCCGTGTATTCTACAGTTTGATGTTTGGAAAACTAGGCTCCACGAGACCTTTTCCCGTTTATTATATTTGTTGACAATTATGACTAAGCAGGGGCCGACAGCGGACACCTAAGAATGCTAGCATTATTGTTTTTTGGTTTCAAAAATGAAGTCACACTTTAATAGTTAGTTTAATTGCGGTTATGAACAAATAAATCTCGAACCCAAATTTTATTTCTTTCATGTTGCCTATTTTAGTCTCTTTGAGAGTCATTATAGGACCTCATTAGCTATTCGTTAAAGAAAAAAAGGGAAAATGACATATTTCATCCTTTATATTTCGCAAGAAATATGCTTTTCATCCCTCACTGTTAAAACGGAATAAATTCGTCCCTAACATTTAAAAATTGAAGCTATTACATCCACAAATCCAATTCTCAATCTAAATCAAACCATCCAATAACCAGATAACAAATTTCGAGGATAGAATCCATCATATTCATACGACATTTATTGAACCAAAACAGGAAAAAAATTATGACATAAAGAGACCATTCTCTATCTTAGAATAGTAGAGTTTTATTTTTTTTTTTATAAATCTTTTTATATGTTGTTAGTGTATACACTTGCAAGTTTACATATATATCATACATATAAAGTTTGGTATTTAAATATAAATTGAAATGATGTGACAAGTATTCATACCTGTCTGTGTGTAGGAAAGATTAATCTGCCTTTTTTATGTTATAATTTTTGCTAACAATATCCTAACATTCTTGTTATTTAAAAGCCATCATGATATGGGCTTTCATAAATAAG